TGAGGTCGGGAGTTTGAGACCAGCCTGGCCAACATGGTGAAGCCCTGTCTCTACTAAAAACACAAAAATTAGCTGCTCGTGGTGGTGGGTGCCTGTAATCTCAGCTACTATGGAGGCTGAGGAAGGAGAATCACTTCAACCTAGGAGGCAGAGGCTGTGTTGAGCCAAGATCGCACCATTGCACTCCAGCCTGGGCAACAAGAGCAAAACTCTGTCTTTTTTTAAAAAAAAAAAAAAAAAAAAAAAAACTTTTTTTTTTTAAAAAAAAAAAAAAAAAAAAAAAGACTAGGCATCCTTAAATGTCTACCAGTTTCAACACTGTGCATTCATTCCGGGGAACTAGGAGGTCCACCTTTTGTTTCCCCATGTTTTTAATGATGGCAAAATGCACTTAAAATGGCTAATATGGTTAATGCTACAATATAAATGTAGTTAATACCACCTTAGCTATTCACTAAAAAGTGATTAATACAAGCGGTTAATATAAAAGAGGTTATACTAATCACTTTAAAATGTATGGTTCGGTGGTACTAACTACATTCATATTGTTGTGTAACCATCACGACCATCCATCTCCACTACACTTTTTACTTTTAAGACATTTTAAAATTCCATCAGATTATTATTTTCAGATGGGGCAATTAACAACTGGGCACCAGTCTTTGTATAACGTTCAGAGTAGCTTATCATGAGAAACTGTTAAAAGTGCTTCACGTGTATTAACTCACTTAATCCCGTCAGCAAGAATTTGAGGTAGAGTCTAAATCACCTTAAAGATGAAGAAACTGTGGCTCACGCCTATAATCTCAGCACTTTGGGAGGCTGAGGAGGGTGGATCAAGAGGTCAGGAGTTCGAGACCAGCCTGATCAACATGGTGAAACCCCATCTCTACTAAAAATACAAAAATAGGCTGGGTGTGGTGGCGAGTACCTGTAATCCCAGCTACTCAGGGGGCTGAGGCAAGAGAATGGCTTGGACCTGGAACGCAGAAGTTGTAGTGAGCCAAAATTGCACCACCACACTTTAGCCTGGGTGAGACTCAGGCTAAAGTGAGTCTCCACCTCAAAAAAAAAAAAAAAAAAAAAGATGAAGAAACTGAGATGCAGAATGGGTAATAAATAAAGCAGATGGAATTTGAATACAGGTAATCTACCCATGTAACCACTATGTTCTATTGATTCCAGAGCATTTTCTGCCAATAAAAATTCTCACGAAATGTCACCAACATGGGATAAGGTAAATACGTTATCCGTAGGACCATGGGTCTCATCCACCTTTTCTGTTCTCACATACTGAATGGTTATGGCAGTCTCACTACTAACGCTTGTTGCCTGGGGCAGGAATTCTCACTCGAGGGAGTGGTAAATAGGGTGTATGAGTCCATGTGCTTTGAAGAAACCCTGACCCTCCCAGGTGACGTGTATATGACCTATCAGAAGTTGGTTGTAGAATTCTGTTGCAGAAGAATATTAACTGATGTGGGGGAAAGAAAGCAGGTCACAAAACAGTATGCATAAAAATGAGTGTGATCTTATTTTTGTAAATATTTGTGTATGTATATATAAGAAAATTAGACAAACTGATAGCTACTTTTTCTTTAATATCTACATTTACTATGTATCAATTTTGTTTCAAGAGAAAAAAAATCAACAAACTTAAAAGTTTCAGCAAGTAAACTTCTGTGGAGTGTTATTCCAGGAAGCCTTTGGTTGAGGAGTGGTGCTCTAGGAGGAGTCTTTTGTGTGCCAGGAAATTGACAGCCATTGGGAGAGACCAAAATTCTTTACCATGGGTGGTGCTTCAGGGAGAGTAACGATTTCTGAAGGAGGAACAGACTTTCGGAGAAGCCTGGCTAACCAGGAAGACACTGGTTTGGCAGACAAAGCCAACACTTCAAACAAATTCTTTGCTTAAATTTAGGAAAAAAGCTGATCACCAAGGAAAAGCTGGCAACTTTTTCCTAACTTGTTTACACATCAAGCTCTATGTACTATCTTTGTATATGTAACGTGCCTGAATGTTCTTGTGGTGTTTGCTTTTATTGCAGTGTACACCATACTAAAGACAAAGAGGGAGATTTGTAAACTTTTATAATGTGAAATGCACAGCTATTGTGGGGGTGCAATGCATGATGCTGATTAACTAATAATGGTTAAGTCAAATATAAAAAGTTGAGCATGCAGAGACGTAGAGGATGTAATTTTTAATTAAGATCCTAACATAAAAGGCAAAGATACAAAGATTTTGTGCTTTTAAGCCATATTGATGGTTTTTTATTCATGTCTTGGGAGCTGAGACAATGCATTGCAGTTATCTGGTGTCATGCACAGCAATTCAGGACAGGTGTAGTGCTGTATGGTGTCAGGGACACAGCCTCCTTCTTGTTGCTCCATTTCGCATGTCCTCAACCTCATGACCCAAGACAGTGCAGCACCTATGTTTCAAGAGGCAGGGCAGAGGAAGAAAAGAAAGAAACTAGCCCCACATGACAATCCTACCTATTTCCACTTACATACAAGGAGATGGAAAGTGTTTTTCTGCTTGGCAGCTGTTTATAAAAAAAAAAAAACAGGAGCACGTATTACCACAGGCGAATGAAAGAATGGATACTGGGGGACAACCAGTACCCTCTGCCACAAGCATCTATTGCAGGATGTCTCCACCTTGGCAACACTGACATTCTGGGTGAGATCATTCTTTGTTTCAGTCCTGTACATTAAGAATGTGTTGTTGTGTGTTGTTCTGTGCATTGTGGAATGAGTTTAACGGTATCCTGGCTTCTATCCACTAGGAGCATTCTCGTGGTTATGACAACCAGAATGTCTCTAGGTATTGCTAAATGTTCCCTCAGGATGACTTCTCCGCTTCCTGTTGAGAACCACTGATTTACTGTTTGCAGGAACTGTGTTAATCACTGAGGAGACAAACCATAAATGAGATCATTTCAGACGGTAATAAGCACTATGATGAAAATAAAATAGGGTAAGAAGGCAGATAGGCCTGGGATGCAACATTTACCACAACATGCAAATGCCCTGAGAGGGGAAAGAGTTTGGCTTGTTCCAAGAAGAATCAGAATGCAGGTATGTCAGGATCTACATCCTAGGGAAAGAACAACAAAAAGAATAGAGGTGTGAGTGGCAGGGCAGGTGGACTGAGTTGAGGTTGGAGAGTAGAGGGGAGCCTGGTGAGGTCTTATTCATTTAATCTTAACTGCAGTGGGAAAGAATTGGAAGACAAGCAGGAAATGACATGATCTATGTTTTTTTGTTTTGTTTTGTTTTTGTTTTAAGCCAGGCGGCTGCTGAGAGCATGTATATGAGATAGGCATCAGGGAAGATACAGGGAGATGAGGTTGTTATAGTCCATGTGAGAGATGATGATGGCTTGGAGTTAGGCAGTAACAATGGCAATGGAGAAATACAATTGAAGGAGACAAATAACTAAGACAGGAGATGGCTAAGGCTATCTTTGGCTTATCCAAATGGCTAATGGGGAAGATGGAGTGGTGTTAAAGGGTAACTGTTTTCCACACACCTTGAAATTCAGTCCAGGCCATTACAGAGCTGTCTTGAATGCTCCTGTATTAGTTTACTATGGCAGCAGTAACAATCACAAACTTCATGGCTTGAAACAATAAGTTTATTCCCATAGTTCTGGAGGCCAGGAAGTCCAATATCAGTTTTATGGGAGTCTGCAGGGCCATGCTCCTGCTGGAAGAGGCCCTGGGGAAAAATTTGTTCCTTGCTTCCTCCAGCTTCTGGTGGCTGTCAGCATTCCTTTGCTGTGACTCCATCACTCTAATCTCTGCCTCTGTGGTTTCTTTCTCCTCTGCTGTGTGGTAATCTCTTCATTTGCTTCTATATAAGCACAGATGAAGGTGCATTTAGGGCACATCCAGACTACCTAGGATAATCTTTCCATCTCAAGACTTTAATCACATCCTTTGCTATAGAACATTCCCGGGTTCCAGGAATCGGTATAAGGCTATCTTTCGGGAGGTCATAATTCAGCCTACCACAGCTTCTATAGTGTTTGAAATGATCTCTGGTGGAACTAATAAAGTCATGTTTGTGTAGAGATGAAAGTGTAAAGAAACACTGTGAAAGTAATTTTTAAGATGCCGTTCAGTAAGTAATGTTAAAAAAAGAATTTCATAAGTGGATTTTCAAGATTACTAAGAAAGAAATGAAAAAATACAGGAGGGTTCCATGGACTCTAGACAGATCATTCTGGACATTAAAATCGATGCTTAAAAGCACAGTTATATTCACACATTGTATAGTGGGCACTCAAATGCACAATGTGTCTGTCATGTTAGTAGGGCTGGGCATAAGCTGATGGAGGCACACAGATGGGAGGAACAGCGAGAAGGCAGTGGCCACTGGAATGGGACTGCAGAACCAAACCAACCCACAGAGGGAGGGTAAGACAACAGGCTCAGGTGCATCCAAGTAGCTGTGGCTAGCAGTCCAATGAGGAAGCAGGAGTGACACTGCAGGAAAGCAGAAATCACTAACAACTCCAAAAATGGGTAATATTTAGAGATCCAGGCAGGCTGCTGGCATCAGGATAGTATCTCAGAAAGTAGTAAAACTTTAGGCTCTTGACTGGGATTCCAGGGTAGGACTCGGTCACGGAAAGGGAATCCCAGTTCTCAGGATACGACAGTAAGTAGCCAAGAGAGGAACTTAGGCCCTAAAGAACAAGGCATGAATCTAACTAGCAGCACTGGGGTCCAAGATAGAGCTGGACAAACAACAAGGATAACTCATGCCAAATTCTGGATTGCTTAGCCAGAACCTGGTAAGTGCTACTTCCTAAAGACCAGAACCTCCAGTCGATTTGCAAGTAGGAGGAAAGTCTGATAAAACTTTATGTAATTCTGATGGAAAAAGGCAAGAATAACATTCCTGTATTTGAATTTATAATACAGTCTAAGACACAAAGAAGTCATTACTAACAATAGGAAGGAAAATAATTTAATATGCAATATAACTAAATCCATGAAATAAATATTTACTTCTGTAATACAATTGGCTAAACACCATCATTAAGGAGAGTACTAGGAAGAACTAACAAACATAGCATGTGAAACAGTTGGGTATGGTAGTAGAGCGCACAGACTCTGGAGCCACAAGTGGCTAATATATTGCAATATTTTCTCTTTAGCAAATTATACCTGGTCTGTGCATAAACATAAGAACAATATGTAGGGGACCAGGATATCTAAATTATAGACTTACACCCTGGCCCTGAAACTAACTAACCATGTTACCTTGGAAAAACTGCTCTAACTTTTGAGGTCTAAAGATTCAGTCTTGTAAACTTGAGAGGGTTGAGGTCCGAGGTCCTCTAAATGTAAACTTTAAAATGCTTTCTTGGGAATCTTTCAAATTTTCATGCTCTTCAAAGGACACCAGACTTTCTCCTTACTATATAGTCTCAACAACTTGGAGAATCACTGTATTATCTTAGTTTATATAGTAATGCTGATTTAAATTTTATTATTCCCATTTTTGAGACGAGGAAATAGAGGCCTAGGCTAGCACAGCTAAATAAGCGGTAAAGTTCGGATTAGATTTTACTCTGCCCATTTTAAAGCTGTGCATTTTCTATTTTTCTGTAGGTTATTCTGACACTGGACTTAATTTTCACACAGTAGGCTAGGATTCCAAACACTCAATATCTATATATTTACCCAGATAGCTCTTACTTCGATATTTCTAAGTCTATACTTTGAGCTAACATTTGTTCAGTTCTCTCCTATTTCAGCACTCCCTTTTCTTGTTATTTATGGTGTTGTCAGCCCATATGGTCTAACTCCCATTTCTTACTCCTGTTGAATGTCTCCTACATGTCTGTTTTTCAGCAGTAACTCCTGACTTTTATCTGAAATAAAATTTTTATGTACTTGCTCACTTCATCCACTTTACGATGAAAAAAATTAGCTAGATGTGAAGTTGGTGCTAAAATTATAATAAACAGAGGATGAAACAAAGACAAGAGAAATAAAAACTCCAGTAATTTCTTTCTTTTTTTAATATTTAGGTTTTTATGAGACAAGGAAGATGATTTCATGTCTAAACACAGGAACAACTTAAATCATATTAATATTACAATCACTGCCATCTTCTAAAGGAAATTCTAAATGAATATTTGAATGGAAAGATAGTATTTAATATTAGCTTTCAGAACATAGAAACATCTTAGAAAAACTGTGTGATACCAGTGTATGTATTTTGAGGTAATATTTATATAATTAGGTACTCTCACAACCAATGGAAAGAAAATACTGCTTTTTGGATATGTGCTATGTTAACTTCTAAAGAATGCTACATTGTTGTAAAATAAATTCAGTGCAGTGGTATGGCAGTTATGCAAATATATGTAAACTCTATGACTAGATTAACTTGAAACAGTAGAGTGGTTACTAATCACGTGTCATTAATACAAATGTCAACAAAAAACAGTCCAACATGTGCAGGGGCACAGTAACAAAAATATAATTAACAATATCTTATTAGAGTAAACCATAGCATCATTAGGGTTAAAAAAAACTAAGGTCATTGTTTTTTTGAGCTCTTCCTTATAAATACGGTGGATAACTCTGATAGTTACCCTTATTTACATTCCCTGTGTACAAATTTGCTGATACTGAACACTATTTTCAAACACATTGTCATTGGATTACATAGATTATTATTACTGAAAACTCATCAAAGCTTTCAAGGCTATTAATGGTTTCATGCAACTTAAAACTTCTAATTTTGAAAGTAACCAGCTAAAGAATTTTCTCCTTTTATTGGTAACAGCCACCATATACCAGTGTCATTAACAGTATGTAAATATGGTATTTAACATGCTTATATATTTCTTAAGAGGTGGAATACAGATTTTACAATACATCTGAAACATCATCAAATATTTTGATAATGCCTTTACAATACAACCTATGTGTGGCATGAAAAAAATTACTGATAGGTCTTAGTGCATTTTTCTGAACTTAATTTTAAACTTTCTAGAGGCTAACATAACAAATTTATCATTTTGACATGGTATATCGCAAACATCTTTCATAAAGTTCAGAGTCTTTTCTTGTTGCCTCTTCCTAAACGATCCTGTAAGAAGAAAATATGATTTATGTAGTATAGCAAAGAGGAACAGATTCATAGACATGACAAGGACTTTTAAAAAACATTCTTCTATGTATAATTATGAGAATAATCAAATGTGAAACAAAAGGATTGAGAAAGTCTAAACTTTTAAAAACTAGAAATTTGTGGTTTTTACTTGGAGGTGAAAAAGAACACTCTTGGTAAGTTCATTTTTTCCCTTGCCTTCATCTATCTTGCTTTGGTTTCACAGGTAACCAGGAAAACATGATTTTGAAAATTCTCCTACTGTGAACCTAATGAAGGTTTTCGGCAAATGAAAGAAAGAAGGGACAAAAAAACCCAGCTGGGGGTGGCTTTGGTTTGGTCCTTCGGATATTTGCCAACTGAATTGACTTCTCAAATTATAGTTGGCTGATCATGTTATAAAGATGACTATAACACATCATTTAAAACTGAAGGAAAAAGGAATAGAAATGAATCTTAAGAGATCACATGTGCAAAGAAAGTAAATGTCTACATCAAGTAAAAGATCATATAAAATGAAGTTGCAGAGAGTTACTGCTTGTACAAAGAAGTTCGTCAAGCACTTGTTCAGGCTGAACGTTAATGCTTCCATAGCAACTTTAATAACATTAACTTTTGCAATCAAATAAGAAGACAAGAGTAGAGGGGGTAAACATACTACTTTCACATGTTTGTGAAAGTATGTGGCCCCTTTTGCTAAAAATCAAAGCTTTAATGATGCTATTATGGACAAGTCCCTTAAGTGATGGCTGATTTTCCGAATGAAATTTAAAAACTGGTAGGTGCTGATGGGTTTTTGTAGCCAATAATCTCTAGTTAGTTCTGCTTTTTCTTTTCTTTCTTTTTTTTTTTTTTTAGAAGAGAGTCAGGGCAAATAAGGAAACCAAAGACTACACATTTTGAAGGGACTGTGTTTTCTAATATTTACTTAGTGCCTATAACAGGGAGGGGACCTGATGGGGAAATCCCAAAAGATTTAAAAGATGCAAATTCAGATCTGTTTACTGTAAAGAAACCAGCATTTCCCTCTTTAACCTTTGTTTTCTTAATATTTTAATAATCCTTTGTTTTATGATTGTTCTACTGAAAGTATGTCAACTATGTAAAATTCAGAAAGCTAGTTCCAAATAACCTTAGGATATAATTCAGTATCTAAGATTACTTTGACAAGAGAAGTACATTTCATGAGGACAATTACTGTAATTCTAGCCCTTTGGGGGGCCCAGGTGGGCAGACTGCTTGAGGTCAGAAGTTTGAGACCAGCCTGGCCAACATGGCAAAACCCAGTCTCTACTAAAAATACCAAATTTGGAGAGAGATCCAAGATGGCCAATTACTAGCAGCTCGGGATTGTAGCTCCTAGTGAAAGCGCAGAGAACGAGAGGACATCACACTTTCAGACAAATTTTTTTTTGCTCACAGACCAGGAGATTCCCAGTGGAGGGGCCCCACGGGTCGCCAGCACAACTCTTGTGGCCGGCCTGGCAGTTCCCGGTGCGGAGTGAATAGGACTGGCTCCCCTTTTGGTCGATGTTTGGAGCTCCGGGAAGGCAGAGTCGTCCGTTCAGCTGATTGAAAGGAGGACCCAGGAGGGAGGCCGGACCGGAGATTCCCAGGCAGAAAGCACCAGGAGTCTTGGCACCGCTGTTTTGGACAGCGCAGTGGGTTACTCGGACTTTGGCACTGGGAATCAACAAGTTGGATGTCCACTCAGAGACCTAATTTGAAAGTCGGTATTTACGATGATAGGTGGATAAATTTACAATGACAGGAAGAAAACAGCGTAAAAAGGCTGAGAATATTCAAAATCAGAATGCTTCTCCCTCCACAGGGGATCACAGTTCCTCATCAACAAGGGAACAAGGCTTGATGGAGAATGAGTGCGTTCCAATAACAGAATTTGGCTTCAGAAATTGGATAATAAGAAACTTCTGTGAGTTAAAGGAACATGTTCTAGCCCAATGTAAGGAAACTAAGAACCTTGAAAAAAGGTTTGATGAAATCCTAACGAGAATGGACAATTTAGAGAGGAATATAAGTGAATTAATGGAACCGAAGAATACAATAAGAGAACTTCGAGAAGTATGTACAGGTTTTAACACTCGAATTGATCAAGCAGAAGAAAGGATATCAGAGTTTGAAGGTGAACTTAATGAAATGAAACGAGAAGGCAAGATTAGAGAAGAAAAAGTAAAAAGGAATGAGCAAAGTGTACAGGAAATATGGGACTATGTGAAAAGACCTAATTTATGTTTGATAGGTGTACCTGAATGTCATGAAGCGAATGAATCCAAGCTGGAAAGTATTTTTCAAGATATTATTCAGGAAAACTTTCCTAATCTAGTAAGGCAGGACAATACTCAACTCCAGGCAATCCAGAGAACACCACAAAGATATTCCTCAAGAAGAGCAACCCCAAGACACATAATCATTAGATTCACCAGGGTTGAAATAAAGGACAAAATTCTAAGGGCAGCTAGAGAGAAAGGTCAGGTTACCCATAAAGGGAAACCTATCAGACTCACAGCAGATCTCTCAGCAGAGACCCTACAAGCTAGAAGAGAGTGGGGGTTAATATTCAATATCCTCAAAGAAAAGAATTTTCAACCCAGAATCTCATATCCAGCCAAACTAACTTTCATAAATGAAGGAAAAATAAAATTTTTCACAAACAAGCAAGCACTCAGAGATTTCATTACCACCAGGCCTGCTTTACAAGAGCTTCTGAAAGAAACACTATACACAGAAAGGAACAACCAGTATCAGTCATCCCAAAAACTTACCAAAAGATAAAGAGTATCTTTATAATGAAGAATCTATATCAGCTGATGGACAAAATAGCCAGCTAGCATTAAATGACAATATTAAACTCACAAATGTCAATATTAATCCTAAATTTAAATGGATTAAACGCCCCAATCAAAGACACAGACACACAAGTTGAATAAAAAGTCAAAACCCATCTGCATGCTGTGTCCAGATCTATCTCATAAGCAAGGACACACAAAGATTCTAAACAAAAGGCTGGAGGAAGACTCACCAATCAAATGGAGAGAGAGAGAAAAAAAAAGGAGTTGTAAAGAAGGACATTACATAATGGTAAAAGGATCAAAGTAACAACAGGACTCAATGATCATAAATATATATGCACCTAATATTGGAGCACGCAGATACATAAGACAAGCTGTTAATGATTTATAAAGAGACTTAGACTCCCACACAATAATAATGGGAGACTTCAACATTAATATTAGACAGATCAACGAGACAGAAAATTAACAAGGATATCCAGGACTTGAACACAGATCCGGAACAAGTAAACTTAATAAACATTTATAAAACTCTCTACTTTAAATACACAAAATACACACTCTTATCAGTACCACATCATACCTACTCACAGGTTTAAATGAAATATTGGTTGGCTGCTTGTTTGTTATTTTCTTCCCTCATTTTTTAAATTTTTTATTTTTTTTCTATTTCCATAAAAATATATATATATATATACCAAATTTAGTCAGGTATGGTGGCATGTGCTTGTAGTCCCAGCTACTCAGTAGGCTGAGGCATGAGAATCACTGGAGCTGGGGACGTGGCGGTTGCAGTGAGCCGAGATTGTGTCACTGCACTCCAGGTGACAGAGTGAAAAACTGTCTCAAAAAAAAAAAAAAAAAAAAGGCTCTCTAAATCTGAGAATCTTATACAGGGTCTCATAAGAGACAATGGGTGGGGGTTGAGTAGCTGAATGGGAAAAAATGTAACCAATCAGGACATAATAGCATTTTATTACTGTGTAGAGCTATTCTTGATTAGAAATATGTAAAGTGCTTTGTTACACAGGATCTGGTTTAATGCTCATGATGTATTATAACTCTCATTAAGTAGTAAAGTAGCTGAGGAGCATAGATGTCAAATGAGTCACCGGTAGGTTACAGAAGTGGTAAACTATAGAGCCGAGATTTTGCTTTCCTTCAGGGATATTATGGGAAATGGTTTTACAGGCAATGAAAAAGTACACACACCAAACAGTATGGTAAGGCACCTCTGGGATTATCAATAGCAGAAAAGCTACTACCACTCCTTGGGCTGGAGGGATGAGGGTTACGGAGCCCAAGTGCAGGCCAGTAAATAGAAGCTGCCCAGTGGGACCTGAAACCATGGAGGGAAGGAACTGGAGCCATAAAGGAGAAGGTATCCACAGCAGAGAGAGTAGAAGAAATCCCTGGCTTTCCCCTTCCTCCTGCGTTCAGTCTGCTAGTGCCTGCCATTGGCTAAAACTGCCCAGAAGTCAGACAGCAAGGGAGTCTTGGAAATGGACCTCCCAGAGATACAGAGTAAAGCAGTGGTGACAGGAGAACAGATCCAAGAACACACAATCCAATGACCAGCAAAAGGCCAAAGAACATAGTGGTTAATGATGGAGGTTCTGAAGAAAGATTCTCTGACTTTGTATGCTATCACTTTCTAGTTACTTTGGGTAAATTATGTAACATCTCTGGGTCTCAGTTTCATCATTCACAAAATAGGGATATTAAAATAGTTTCAATTATTGGGCTGTCATGGAGAGGAAATAAAACAACATATCGTAAGCCCTTAGCCAAGTGCTTAGTCCAGAGCATACTCTCAACAAATTTCACCTATTAAATATTTCAAAAACTAGATACAGGCAGAAATTAGATCAAGTCCTGAATGTACTATCAAACAAGGCCCTATTCTTGGCATGGTGTTTGGCATAATCTGGGATGGGGTCTTTTCCACATAAGCAGGTATAACAACTATTTTCTTGGGAAGGGATCGCCCTTAAAATATTTCTACATCCTTTACCAAGAATGCAGAAGCTTTAAGCTGACTGTGGCTTTTTTTGTGGGGAGGAAATGGGTTGAGGGAATCTCACTGTTATATACATTCTTCAGAATTAATAGAACCAATGGCTGTTACCACAGTGGAGACTATCAATGATGGACACTGGCAATAAGAAATTGAGGGCATACTTCTGGTTTTCCTTTCTCCATCCAAGGATATAAACATGTCTGACATCATGGCAAGGTCCACTATTGTCGATACTCATCCTGGTTGAGTAAACCCTAAACTCACAAATAGGAGGAAGATGTTGTATTTCTAGGCAAGAGGTCTGTGAAGTGACTTCTTCACTTTCCAGTGTGGATCTTGAAAGATGCCATGGAATAATTATTAAGTCCTGATGAGACAAGCAATTTTAGGATCTCTGTTTTTGAGATGGGGAAGGGGTGGTCTTGCTGACAATCTACCTATCTGCTCCAGATCATGTGAACTGAGCCCTCAGTCTTGGGATTGGAGCATAGAGAGTATTCACCTTTCTCTGGCTACCTTGTCTTTTTCTTGCTATTGTTAAAATGGGCTAGTTAAACCAAACATGCAAACCAACTGGGACTATCAGATTACAAATACGTGCTTTGATTACTTCATGACTGGCTCTAAACCAAGGCCAAAGTGGCTGGTTAAGAATAAGTCATTCTTTTGGCAAAATTCCTACAGAGGAAGTAATATAGATGATGATGATAATAGCTATCATTTATTGAATGTTTACTATCAGCTAGGCATAGTGCTAAGAAACCTACACATTTTATTTAGTTCTCTTAACAATCCAGTGAGCGAGGCATCATTATTGTTCCAATCTTATACATGAAAGAAGTGAGCCCCAAAGGGATGCTATAACCAGCCTACGATAAAAAACCTTAGCATGCGGCCTGATATGGGTACGTACTCCAGGTATGTCCAATTCCAAAGTCTATGAGTATAGTGTCTGCTTGCCTTGGGCCAGGAACGGTGCTGGGCCTTGGAGATATAATGACCATTAAGATGCTGAAAAATGTGTACAGTGAAAAAAAGGTATAATTTGTAAAAAGCCCTAAATGAAAGCCATAAAGGCTGCCAAGTTTTGAAGACAAGCACAACCAGTCTGTCAAGGGAAGGCTAGGGCTGCCTCTAGAATGGTCTCTCTCCGAATTGATCAAAGTGTGGCTGGGAAATCAACTCAGGTTACTGGCTGGCAGCATAAGGGAGGGAGGAAACACAAGCCTAACAGGGATGAATGTTTCTTTTCTTGGATTAGAGAGGAAGAGAAAACCTATGGCCCAGATCTGACTTTGTGGCTTTAACAATGAAACATTTTTTTCTGTTTCCATCTTTCACATCAATATTTGGAGGTCAATAATATATTTGAATGCTATAGTCTTTGTCCTAATATGTCTGAAATACTGAGATAAGAGTAGTGTGATGTGGAACTTGAAATTCTGGCCTCATTCTGGCATGAATATGGCAAACATCCCAAATAGCAAAACTCAACTCTTCTAGAACCAGTCTGTTTTCCAATACTGCCATTTTTGTGGCTTACTTATTTTGCTTAAAGATTCACCAAAACTGGAATGCTGTAAGTATGTATGTCAGCAATTACTTATAATTATCTTGTATTTTCCTAAAATGTCCTCATCTTTACCCTCTAGGTAAAAATGTGGCTTCTTTAAGTCATTTAACAAAGCCAGGATTTAGTATATCATCTGGATTAGTTAAGAACAAATAACCCAAATAATTTACTTAGGTAATTACTATTTCAAAACTCTTAGGCGCATAAAGTGAGTGTCACACCCACCTGAAGTTCAGAGTGTTCTTTCAGGAGTTGATCATATTCTTTTGAAAGTCTCTCTGATTGCATCTTCATTGCCGTCACATCATTTTGTGCCTTAGAAAGGGCTAGAAAATATTGAATAGAGTTTTATTTTTATTTCAAAATAATTTCAAATTTACAGAAAAGTGCTTTTCATATCAGCACTTTCTAGACAGTATTGTCAAATGTTCTACATAGTTCTACCTCTGTGTTGTCAGTATGGTAGCCACTACTTAAATGTGGCTAGTTTAAGTGAGGACCTATATTTTCAATTTAAGTTAAATTAAATTTAAATAGCCACATGTAGCTAGTGGCTAGCCACGTTGGACAGCACAGCTCTATAATTTCCTCCATGTTCCTTCTATAGCAGCACAATTCTAAATAAGGTACTTAAAGATTGATTTTGACAAATTTAATGTGATGTCACTTGCTAAACGTATGGGTCAGGTATGGAAGATGCTATTGGTGATGGTTACATTTCATTAGAACGACTTTCACAACATAAAGAGTTATACATTAGTTTTCAATTTGGGTTCTACAAGGCATTTCCTAGAGGCTGCTTGAAACTATGATACATTTTTCAAGTATGTTTTATCTTCAGAACTCAGCAAAAAAGTTTAGGACCCTAGACTTCTGGTACATAAAATGCACAGTAGATTCTACAACTTAATAATGGCTGACTGGTCTGCAATGGTGTTTTTTATTTTTTTCAAGACAAGGTCTTGCTCCATCACTCCCGTCAATTTTTAAATTTTTTATAGAGATGATGTCTCACTATGTTGCCCAGGCAGGTCTTGAGATCCTGGCCTCAAGTAATTCTCTTACCTCAGTCTTACAAAGTGCTGGGATTACAGGTGTGAGCCACTGCACCTGGCCTACAATACTGAGATAAGAGTAGTATTCTTAAAACTACAATGGTAGTTTGAAGAATGTTGTTGTTATGGACTGAATGCTTGCCTCTCCACAAAATTCATATATTGAAACCTAATCATCGATGTGATGGTAATGGGAGGCATGGCTGGGGAGTGATTAGGTCATGAGGGTGGGGCCCTCATTAATAAGAGATCCCAGAGAGCTGCCTTTCCCTTTCCATTACGTGAGGACAGCAAGATGGTATGATCTAAGAACCAGGAAACAGGCCCTTGCCAGACGCCTGATTTACTGGTGCCTTGATCTCAGACTTCCCAGCCTCCAGAACTGTGAGAAATATATTTATGTTGTTTATAAGTTACTAAGTCTATGGTACTTTCTATTAAGACAGTTGATCAGGAGCTTGTAATGAACAGGAGTTGATCTTAATGTTAAAAATAATTTATACTTGAATTTCCAACATGAATAAACTATTTAATACATTTAATATATCTCAGATATCAACCCAGGAATTCCTTTTTTAAAAGACGCTAGAAAACCACTTGTACAGCCTGTCCAGGAGTTTCTTCTGGTTATTAGTGGTATAAAGCTATTAATGAAACAAATGCAGACAAATACTGTTTTTCTGCCACTTGTTAAGCCAAGGTATCAACCGTGTTTCTTATTTCTTTTTGTATTTCAGTAGATACTAATAAATCTAATGCTTACTATTGCTCCAATTAGGAAAGGCTATTATTGTCTAGACACATCTTGGACTCTTTCCCAGTCCTTTATCTCATTTTATAAAAATTATAGTATTGCATTCCTGGATGCCTTCCACCTCCTTTTGCAACTGCATCTGTAACTAAGGGATTATATAAACTTGTTATCTGACATGTGAATATGCTTTATTTTGAGCCATATTATTTTGGAAACAGCATATATAAGAAAAATATTATTGGACAAGGAAGCTTTAGATGATAAATCTAAGTTGCTATTTCAGTTTTCTTATTTGCAAAAAAGGGCTGCTATCAGTTGCCAGTGGCTTTATGGAAATACTGAGATATTTCATAAGAATACGATGAATCTAGCCAGTGCTAGATTCAATGAGAGACTGTTACGTCCTAGGATATGGCCCATTAGATACTTTTAAAGGCACATGCATCACTTATTAATATAGAAAATAGCTTCAACCAATGTTAGTTACACATAGTAAGCAAAAATATTTGTTGTCTTTCCAAGTGTCAAATGTACACTTATGAAGCTATTTGCACAGTGACAGGAGCTGGTGAGACTAATATACTGTGTACATGTATTGTACCACTATGATTTCTACCGGAGAGAACAAACACTGCCAGTTAAGCTCTGCCAGGAAATGGAAATTTTTAGAGGCATTTGCATGACAGCTAAAGTTGGGCTGTTGTACCATAGCTGTAAGGATAGAGCCAGAGGAAAACATTTTATCTGAAAAATTTCCATATGTCTTGTGTGGGTTTCTTTTCAATTTATTTGGTTCTCTTTTTGAGAATTTAAGAGTGTGATAGGTGGAGTGGAGGATCCAAGATGGCCATTTAGGAACAGCTCAGGATTGTAGCTCCCAGTGAAAGCGCAGAGGGTGAGTGGACGCCACATTTTTATTGCCCACAGACTAGGAAATTCCCAGGTGGAGGAGCTCCACGGGTCACCAGCGTGGCTGTTTCGGCCAGCGCAGCTGTGCCGGCTGGTGCCGTGCTTCACCCCGTGCGGCTGCTTTGTCAGCACCCCGGAGCAGTGGTTCTCTGTACAAAATACACCGGTCCGGGTGCCCCTTTTGGCTGGCGATTGGAGCCACGGGAAGTCGCCCATTCG